CATTCACCACAAAAAGCAGCCTAATTTCCTCCAATAACCTAAAGAGGTAAGGCTTTCTGAATTTCTTGGTGTGTTGTTGTGGCTTGGGCTTTTTCCATCCTTCAATAGCTCTGCTGGTAGAGCGGAGGACTGTAGATGAAATGTTGGCAATCCTTAGGTTGCTGGTTCGATTCAGGCTTGAAGGAGTTAGGTTTTAAATTCAGCACACACGTTTCCACATTTTTTTCTGAGTTCGTATTGCCAGATAAAAAAAGCCCATAGGTCAAGATCCAAGTCTATCACATTACACACATATATTCATATATGAATGGCAAGTGGTAGTCTGCTTAATTTGTCCTTTTACTCTCACAGGGCAAAGACCTATACCCTGCCAACTTGCATGTTGTTGCCACAATCCTATATATTAGTCTTAAAATTCCATTGAGCGATTTCTGAAATAAGATGCAACTATCAGTTTGAAGGTTTTTGGGACATGGCCTTTGACCTACAGATAAAGAGGAGTTTATAATATTAAGACATTGTTTCACATATTTCATGTTTAAAAAAATAAAAAGCAGTTTAAGTTAATGTCCAAGTATCATGCATCAGTCAGTCATTCCCCCACCATTGTTTTGTGCATAATATGGATAAACATTAACTAAAATGAGTGTCTATTTTAGAACCATTAAACCAATAACAATCTTCCTTCACTTTATAATCTCACCTGTAACCGTGATCACTGCTGCTTCAGGAGACACAAACGTGATTTCCAGCACCTTCACTCTCTCTGTTCTTCTGCTGAAATCAGCTGCAAACCTCCATCAATCTGCTGAGACCATCACAACTCTCAAGAAGCTGAAGACTCACCTCTCACATGAAGTTAACTGATCCACGACACACGGGGCCTCAGTTATAAGATGTTGCATACAATGTTGATTTTACGATTATTTCTCAAATATTCAGAGAACGAACGTGCGCACAGAAAACGTGTGTATGACTCTCTTCCAGATGTGAATCTATGTATCGCAAATGATTTTGAAATTGTGTGCAGCTGAATGATTTCAGATCAGATCTCCGCCTTAAATTGTAAACGCCGCCTAATTAATGTCATTAACAGAGCACCTGTCAATGTCCAAATCATTCACTTGAGAATGGAGAGCCGCAGAATTACTTACATTTCCAAATACCTACAGTAAAAAAAGTGTTAGAGCAGTCTCCATGTCTTCTTCAAAGAGCGTCAATTATACATCTGAACATTGGCGTGGATTTTCCCGCAAAATTGTGCTACATTTATACTGTTGCCGCAGGTTTTTTAGTCCATGGGTTGAAGTCATAGACTGCAAAACATAACAATAATAAAATAAATAAATAAAGGTTGAAGTGACAACACCCCGCCCCCTGAATGCCATTGGCTGATTTTGTAAAGCAGACCTGGCAACCCTGTTTATAAATGATCTTATCTTTTTTGTTTTTGTAGCCTAGATAGTGTTGCTTCCATGTGAACAGCATACACTGATAATCCACATGATGCTTTGTGATGGGGTGATAGCGACACCCAGTGTTCAGATTACACATTTCATGCCCTCTTAATAGTAAACCAAATTATTTTTTAAAAATACCTTGCAGTTTGGATACCCCAGATCTAAACATACATTCAAAGCAATCTTTGATCTCACTGATAACTCAATGTATAGAAGAGATGACAGGCCAGGGAATGTGGTGTGTTTTTACAGTACAGTACGTCTAATCAGCACCAGCAGCACATGCATATAGAATAGCACATTATAATATAAAAAAAGAAAATTATGAACTGACAGGTCAAAGACTCCACTTTTATGTTTCTGTGTGTAAAAGAAGCCCACACGTCGATCAATGATATTCTGTAGCTTTCAGACAATTTTTCCAATTCGAGAACAGAGAAAGTCACAACGGAGAAGATGATTTTCTCCTATGGACTTCAAAAATGGAGACGTCTGTTTTGCCGCAGTACAGAAATTGATTTATTTTTTCTTTAGATACTGATGGCGTTTAAAAGTTTTCAACAGAAAAGATTTACAGGAGATCGAGGGGGAAATAAATTCCTTCTGCGTTTGATGTGGGTTGTGTTTCTCTTGTTTCCTGGCTGTCGGGGCACTTCTGAAGAACTTGGCACCTCAGTCAATAATAATGCATATCCGTGAGATCAGATCCGCGTGAGCTGGTGCCACAGACTCGAGGGAAGAAAGCTCTCCACTTTCTCCATGATGAAGTTCAGCGGAGCGAACAGAGTGCTCAGGAACTGAAGGACGAGACAGAAACAAGTGAGATATCTGCAGTCTGAACACTACTCTCAGACAAGATAGCCTCCGTATTAAATTACATCCAATAATATAATCAAAAGATTCATTTAAAAACACAAAAATACATTTTGGTACAAATTAGCAGTGTTGGGGGTAACACATTACAAGTAACATGAGTTCCTTTCCCCAAGTAACTAGTAAAGTAACATTTCCTTTTGATTTAAAATGAAACATCCAAGTTACTTTTTTCAAATCAGTAACATAGTTACTTTGTTTCTCATGTATTGAGTGACAGCTCTGGTGTTGCCATGGTGACAGAAATCAGGAGTAAGTGCAGAGTGTTGTGTGTGAACATGATCTTACTGTAGTTCTAGACTAAATATCAACATGTGTTTACTCATCTCACTGCACACAAACACATTCAGTGTTCCTCACAATCAATAAAAACAGTCAAATGCAAACCTAACCAGTGTCTATGCTGCTGACCTTCAATGATCCAATTCAACCATACTAATGAGCAAAAGTGACTTAAGATAAACCTTAACATTTGTGTTTTATTTACATTTTTTTATTCCTTTGGAGTGTTGAACTTTCTTCTCTTGCATCCAATACTTCATGTAATCCAGGACAGCAGCAGAGCTGAAAGGCTTGTTTGCGCGGAGCCTCTACTGTACAGATGTGTATTTGCCAAAAATAGTAACATATATAATAACAAAATAATAACTTTTTTATATTAATAACAAACAAGCCCAGCCCAGATGAGAAAAAGTAACGCAAAAGTAACATAACATTACTTTCCATTAAAAGTAACTAAGAACACAATTAGTTACTTTTTTAGGGAGTAACACAATATTGTAATGCATTACTTTTAAAAGCAACGTTCCCCAACACTGCAGATGAGGAACTGGAAGTGATTCATCTTCAGCAAGCAGAAACATGCAGCGATCTAATACAAATCCATTCAGAGGTTAAGACTACAACACAGATCAAACTGTGAAAGTGAAGAGAAGAACTGGTTTAATACGGAGAGATCCAGAGAACTCAATCAAGAACTCAAGAGTCTTTAGCTGGATTGATTTCTTCTGATTATGTTTAATCTGGCCACCTGTGCATTTTATAGCTAATTCATTTCTGAAAAACAGTTTCACAGTAAAACAAAATAAGAGGCAATGGGGTAAGATGTGCCACCAGCTGATTATAATTCAGCAGAAATGAGATATTAGTCTCTATGAAAACATGGGGAAAGTAATTAAATATTGGTCCAGTAACACAATGGTAGAGATAAACTTGGTCATATTTTCTTAAGATGAATCTTTCAGCACTACGTGAAGAATTTACATTTCAAATACAAATATGAGCATGAGGAGTTATCTTTAAAAAACCTCATGTTTGGCAAAACCCTGCGTATCAGTGTCATTCAAACGGTTCTTCTTCAGAGCTGATGATACTGATGAAAATGAAAAGCCTTCAACGGTGGTGTGTTTGTCTGGAGTACTGACGTGTGTGACACTCACGGCTTTAGCAAACACTCCCATGAGCTCTGGGAACTGATGCGTGAGGAGCGCCAGCATAGCTGTGAAGGAGCAGAGACCCGCCGTGAACAGGATGAAGAATGGCAGCTCCTTCTTGGGATACACTGACACCTCGTGGAACACTGCTTACACGCACACACACACACACACACACACACACACACACACACACAGGGTTAACTACAACTGCAGCTGTGGTAGACATTAAAATAACAATAGCAATTCAATATGTAATCACTCTATATCTCCAGTAATCTGTCTCAGTAAGAAGAGATTGAAATGCTCCAAACATATAATGCAGTGATTGAGAGCTGAAGAAATAAAGGCTCCTCAGAAGATGTGAGATGTTCTGGAGGCTTGTGAAGATCATTCCTCCGCTGAGGAACAGTGAAAGTAAAGCTTCTGGAAACAAACGCTCCTCAAAAGATCCTGAGGATCAGATTTGAGACTCTAAAACATGATTGATGGAGAATCAAGTAAAGCTGAGCTGCTTCAGTCCAGTAAGTGTTCATCTGGAGATATTACTGCTGTTATTCTGACCTTTACTTGATCAAAATCAGTCAAGATCTGACACGAGAAGCTCCAGCTGAAGCTTGACGTTTGTACAGTTACACTAAAAGGCCTAATGTACTCATATAGTCCACTAACAGGCTCTGAGAGATTCCGCTGCAGACGACGTCAGACGTGACAGAAACACTACTCTTCATCTACAGGTGAGATGCAGGAAAATCTCTTACTTGGTAGCAGTTCTCGGTCCGCTGTCTCTGTACAGACGGGATACGGATAGAACAGGTGGCCTTTCTCCAGAGGATATGGAATCATTCTGAAAGCTGAGCAATCAACACAAAGGAGTGGTTTTTAAAATGCATTTCTAAGCTTCGGAGCAACAGTGAGTCACCAGCAGTTTTTTCGGTGTTCACTTGAACACTTCGACATGTTTTATATTGAAAAAAAAATGTTTGCCTCTTAAAAGACATGAACTAAAGGCATTTATTCCTGATGACTAACTGATCAATTTTAAAACATTAACACTGTTATTTTCCTATTTATCACTGTGACGCTGCTTAGAAACTGTCTGGTATGAAGCGCCAGATATAAAGGTGACTTGACTACACCAAATTGTTATAAATAAAACCTTACAGATTTCCATATCATTATAATAATAATAATAATAATAATAATAATGCATTCTATTTATCAAACACAACAGCAATAGAATATAAAAGAGAGAAAAAAAAATGAAGACAAACACAATCTTAAAAAGATGGGTTTTTAAGCGTTTCTTAAATCTACCTACACTCTAAAAAATGCTGGGTTGTTTCAACCCAACTTTGGGTCAAATATGGACTAACCCAACTTTTGGGTTAAAAGTGTAATGTAAAAATTGAACCCAATGGTTGGGTTAGTTCATATTTGACCCAAAGTTGGGTTGAAACAACCCAGCATTTTTTAGAGTGTAATGTGGGGACATTCCTAACAGTTAAAGGAAGTGTATTCCACAAACTCTGTCACCCACAGATTTGAATCTGCATGAAGGCTGAATTGCATAATGAATAACCCCAACTTGTAACTACTGTAAATATATCCTATTTTAACTAACAAGCAGTTGAGATTTGCTATGATCTCCATGTGTGAACTACACTATTATCCAGCTCTGAAGAGATCAGTGTGAACAACTGGGCTTTAAGACATTATAACATCTGTACAGCTGCTTTGAAACAACGAGTAAAGAGCTACACAAATAAACTGGCCTCTGGATCTGATCCGAGTTGAGCCAAAAGACAAAGCGTAATCCAAGAGACCTTTTTTTGGTCATAACACCGTACTGACAAAAGGTGTATTCGCAGTGCAGAATAATCAATCAGAAAGTGACTGTGTTAAATCGGAGGGGTCAGAGGTCACTCACTCCCCTCCCAGGTGCAGTGGAGCAGGTTGAGTGCGCCCTCCACACGCTTCCAGTGCTGCAGGTGGAAGAAGGTGTAGGCGATGGCTTCGCTGTCGCCGCGCTTCAGGATGTGCTCCGGAGGCAGAATCAAACTCTTCATCTCTAAGAGGTACTGCGGAGAGAACGAGAGGCAGGTTACGGCTGAGGAGGAGGAGGAGGAGGAGGATGAAGATGAGGAGGCTCACTTTCGGTACGTGTGGATTGAACTCCACCGCTCTGTGTATGGCTTCTACTGCGTTCATTTCTGCTGTGCTCAAACCTCTGCGTGACGCCGCCTCTGGAGAAAACCTGCAGATGCACACAAACCCCCCCAGACTGAGGTGAGACTGTAGAATGATGACAGCACGGACACACTTTACAGCAGAACTAATGTGATTTGAGAAACTCGGGACTCATGCTGTCTAGAACTGACAGTGATGACAGAATATCCAGTCAGAGGTGAACTGGCCCTTTAAGCACAGTTTGTCTCTGTATGTGTGCACTGTTAGGCTCGTCTGGGTCAGGGGAAAAAAGAGACAGCTGGGGAACACTTTATTTTTTTGACTAAGTCAGTAGAATGTCCATTAAAATCAAGTGTGAGCAGATATTAAGCAGACGGTCACTGATACTCTAATGACTGCTCAATGACGTGGAGTGTCTTACTGTGGACTCAAAATAAAGCTGGTGCAAAGCTAGTGGATTTCTGCTTTCATGTGAAAGTCACCTCTTATATA